ATTGGATTTACATAGTGATTTGCATTACGTTACACTATGTTTATTCTTCTGTTGACTGGCGGATTATCAATTAAAGTACTATCACTATGCATAGTGTTCTGAGGTTTCGTTTATCTGTTATAGCTATTTAATAAAAAATTTACATGCTTATAATATTCACAAGTAGTACTATATTGAATAAATACTTGATTTTATATTGATATTCAAAATTATCAATAAATTTCATTTATTTATTTAAAAAAAATATTACAAATAGACACAATAGTACTTATTCCCCATTACTCAGTTTGAAACAAGTCTACTCACAAGAAATCAAATATTTATACTCCAAAAAAATTAAATCTGCTTATAGGAAATCAGAATCTACTTATCGCAAAAATCAGAACAAACTCACATAAAACTAAAACCACTCACCAGCTTCAGTTAATCATGACAAAAAAAAAAGAAAATCATATAACAAAGCACGGAAAGTAAGAAATAACATGGTGCACAGCAACTTAAAAGTGGCAACTTTAAATGATTACTTGAAAAATGACTATACCAAACTACCAAACTTAGAAGAAAAAAATAAGTATTAGTTCAATAAAAAAAAAAAAGGTGACAGAAAAAAAGTTACATAACAGGATATGAAATTCGTACCATGATGATCTAAAAGCTACAAGACTACATCAATGATGGTTTTAAAAACATCTAAATTAAATTTGGTAGGAAAAAAAAATATTGTTCAAAATAAAGGAAAGACAAAAAAAGTAAGATAATGAAAGGATTAAGAAATGAATAAAAATAAAAAAAAAAGTGAATGAGAAAAAAAGCGAAAGTGTTAGAAAAAGATAAAGTAAAGAAGAATGAAAAGAAACTGAAAGTAAAAAGAGAAAAAAAGAACCAAAAAAAGAAGAAAAAAAAAAAGTGGAGGAAAGAAAAAGTGAAGAGAAAAAAAAATGAAGGGAAAGAAGAAAATAAAAGTGGAAAAGGAAAAGAAAAGAAAGAGGCGAAAGTAAAAAAGTGGAAAAAAAGAGAAGCGAAGAAGAAAGAAAAGAAAAAATGAAAATAAAGAAGAGGAAGAAGGCAAGACAAAGTAGAAGAGCAAAGAAAATAGAAGAAACGAATAAGAATATAAAAAAAAAATTAAAGTAGAAAGAAAAAAGCGAAAGTAAAAGGGAAAAAAAAAAAAAATGAAAATAAAGAAAAAAATGAAAAGTGAAAAAAATCGAATATTTATATATATGCAGATTTATATATAAAATTCTGTGCAGATCTTAAAAATTTTCTTCAATGATCACTAGCAATTTGAAGTTTTGTGCAGATTTGTATATATTTAATTTATTAAAGATCTGCACAGTTGTGTGACAAAAAAATTTTCCCGATGTTGTTATAATAGCAACAACTTATAAAATTATTAGTGAAAGTTGCTTTGCAGTAACAAGAAGTAAAAAAAAATTTATTAAGTTTATATGAACAAAAAATAAAATAGCAGTATTATTAAAGTTTAGTTAAATATTAAAAGATAAGTTGTATTAATAATAAATTTTATTTATATATATTATTACAAATAATTTTTACATATTTGTAATAAATTCAACTTTCAAATTCAACTATTGATATAGTATAACTTTATACTTAACCTTTTATTTTTTTTGTTAACCTAATCTTGAGATTCCAAGTTTTATTATATATATACAATAAAGTGAAAACTTACAAAAAAATAATATTAGCTATATAAATAAAACAAAAACAAAAAAAAAATAAAAAAATAAAAAAAATAAACAAAAAAAAAAAACTAGAAACTGGTATACTTATACAGTCAACTCTCTATTAATGCACGCTATTGGAGAAATATACAATTATAAAGGTGTGTATTTGTAGAGGTAAAAAAGCATGATTTTATTTATGCAGATCAAAGTATATATACAGATCAAATACATATTATTTAAAAAAAAATTTACTATACCTGTCTTTTATTAAAACTGAGTTTTAAGCAGAAACAAGCAAAGCGAAGCAAAAAACAAAAGCAAGAAATAAAGAAAAAAAATAAAAAATAAAAAATAAAAATACTTATTGCTTATTGTTATTAATCTAGAAATCATTTCAATATATCCTTTTGTATTATTTTCTTGCTGCAAAAAATACAAAGAGAGCATATTAATTGTATTTAAGACTTCTTTTTTTGTAATTATTCATTTTTCTTTTTCAGAACTATCTGGATCAGTATCTTCTGCAGGTGTTACAAGATCTACAATCTCTTGGTCCGTAAGCAGTTTATTAACTGTATTTTCATTAAAGTATCTATCAACTTCTGTAATAACCTGAGTATATAAATTTGTATTTAATTCATCAGTAGTTAAAAATATTTCTTCATTGTCATTAACTTCTATTTGTTTATTATTATTAACTTTCATATTTATAGGAAAAACTTTTGTATAATGAAAACAGTTAATAATCATTGTTGAAAAAATGTTGTTTTATATATTAATTGTAAAGTTGATTGCTATAAGTATATTAAAATTATCAAACTCAATATTATGTTCTTTAGCTTCATATTGATCTATAATCTATTTAACAAATTAGAATTTATAATATTGTTTAAATAACATTATTATTCCTGCATCTAATAGTTTAATTCTACTTGTTGTTCTTGGAAAAAAAAAATGTACTTTAGTATTTTCAAGAGTTACATTGTCAAGCTTATGGCTTGTTGCTCTATCTATTAGAAGAATAATATTATGTCTATTCATTTTTTGGTCAAATTCTTGTATTCATTTGCTAAATATTATTACAGTCATCCAGGTTTTTTTATTAGCCTCATATATTACATATAAACTATTCTAATTAATTTTTTTAAAACATCATAAATTTTGGTATTTTCTAATTACAAGTGGTTTATGTTTATCACTACCATCGGCATTTACACAAAATACAACAGTTAATTGATATTTATTTTTTTTTTCCTTTTAAATTTACTGTAGCTAATGTTGAATCAGGTCAAGATGATAGAATAATACTGTTCCGTCTATATTATAGATGTCTTGAATATTATATTGAGATAATAAATTTTGTAATTCAGGAATTGCAGTATTTGTAGCACTATGATCAGCCAAAGCATCCTCTCCATGACACTTAATTTTTGAAATATTATATTGTTTTTTAAATTTATGCAACTATCCTAATGAGAATTTGAATTGTTCAGCAGATAAGTTAAGAAGTTGAGTAAAACGTTTAGCTTTTTCTATCAAAATTGCATCAGTAATTGTTATATAAGCTTGATATTGAATAATCTATTCATGTAAAGCATGGTCAAGTTCTAAATATTGAACAGATTTGATTTTTTTTGTTGATAGACTTCTTTTAAGATCATCATCTTTCCATTTTAATGAACATCTAACAGTAGTATGATAAATATCAATATTATATTTATCTTTTATCTATTTAACAATATCATTATGGCTTTTATTAGAGTTTTCATTTTTATAGTTAATGATTTTCAATCTTTGCTCATTTGTAAGCATAACTCTGTTTTTTTTTTGAGTATTTTTCATAGACATAAGTAGTTAAACGTAGCAATTCAAAAACTATTTTTATTTATTTTTTTAATTATTATATCATAAATCAATATATTAAACTTTTCAAGTAAGAAAATGCAAGAAACGAGAAAAACGATCATGAAAAAAACTGAGAAAAGACATGCAATGATTGAAGCTGACCAAAAAAAGATGATCTACAGTTTACTTAACAAACCATAGAAAAAGA